CATAAAACTGATTCATTACCACTGTTAGCAAACTCTAGTCTTTTAAAGACATGTTGTTGTTGCTTGCCTTCAAGTCAAGCACGACTCATAGTGACCCTATGAAAAAAAGGCTTGAAGCCCCTCTACAACCATCGACATTTATCTAAGTTCATAAAGTTTCCAGAGGCTGTTTTTTAGGAAGTGGATGCCACTCCAGCTTACCACAAAAAGTGTAATTCTATTCAAATATCAGAGCCCCTTCTACATAACCCAAAACCTGCAGCCATGGGAGCTCTGGTGGCCTAATGGCAAGAAGCTGCGCTGCAATCCTGAAGGTGTGCAGTTCGAATCCACCAGATGCTCCACTGGAGAAGGAGGGACAAGCTCCTGTGTCAGTCAGATTCAATTTGACAGTGTATAACAAGAAGGGGGGACCAACAAAAACCCTGCAGCCTCAAATCATTTCCAGCAACTCATGGTGCCGGCCCACTGGTCCCAGCTGGGAATCTTTACTCCTTACGAGAGGCTGTGGGATTGGAACTGCTGACCTTGCAGTTAGCAGCTCCACACATTACACACTTTGACACCAGGGCCCCTGCCCTTGTACATAGCAGTTCTTTTTCTAGAGTAATCCCAAGTCCCAGCAATCAGACAGGACAGAGTGGACACTGACCAGAACAGAAAGAAGAGGGCCTTCTCCTGGTCAGGAGTCATCACGCCTAACATGCACCGAAACATCGGGGTGGCCGAGGTCTGCCAGGGTCCCAGTTGGCTTTGTTTGGCCCTTGACGCTAGTAGCATTCCGAGGTGCGTTTAATAACTAATAATAAAATATATGCAGAGCACTGGTGGCGCAATGCTTAAAGTGTTCCGTTGCAAACCCAAAGCTCAGGGGTTTGGACGGAGCGGATGCTCTGAGACGAGGGAGGAGGCAGTCCACTGCCCAGGAAACCGTACAGGCCATTCTACTGTCCTGTGGCCAGCACACGTCTGAATGAGGAGTCTTGTGATGAAGTGGTTAAAGTGCCTGGCTTCTAACCTGAAAGTTGGTGGTTCAAATCCACCAGCTGCTCCGTGGGAGGCAGAGGAGACAGTCAGCTCCCCTAAAGCCTGACCATCTCCACACCCCGAGGGCCATTCCGGGGATCTCTCTGCATCAGAATCAACTTGCTGGCAGTTGGTCTGGCTTCGTAAAACACATGCACCTGATGTGCACGCACAGAGAAGAGAGGTCCCCCGCCTCACAGACGCATCAGGAGGGTGGAGGGGAGCAGGGGACAGCAGTCCTGGTGTAGCCAGGTGACAGCAGGGGCCCAGGAGGGTGGAGGGCGGAGCAGGGGATGGGGGATGGCAGTCCTGGTCCCCACAGGAGGAAAGGAGCATCTGAAGCTCTAATTCCCAGAAGAATGGAACGTTTGCAATGGCAGGAGCCTGGTTGGCAGAAGCAGCTGCACCAACCTCAAGGCTGACGCCCCCACAACATTGCCTCATCTTTCTCCTGGAAAGTGGCTTTGGACTGTCCACTTCTTGGTCAGCTGCCTAACGGGAGCCCCTTGGACTCTCGATGGGGCCTGTCCTGTGGGGTCACTGTGAGTGGCCAGTGCTGTCCTGTCCTGTGGGGTCACTGGCCCAAGCTGACCTGACAGCAGTGGCTGTGTATCTGTCAATGAGCTGATGGAGAAGGATCACTTTCATGCACCGATGCTGGGGGAAGCACACGGCTGTTATCCGAGGGTCAGCAGTTCACACTCACCAGCAGCTCTGGGGCAGAAAGAGCTGGCAACCTGTCCCCTTAAGATCACTGCCCTGGGAACCTATGGATAGTTCTGCTTGGTCCTGGACGGCCGCCACAGCTCGGAATCCATGTGACAGCAGTGAGTCTGGGGTGGACTGTTACCAGGCGCTCCCAGGGCCCCCAGGCACGTCAGGCTCTGACCTGTGACCCAAAGGGTGTCCGTCCACTGGCTGATCCCCCGTAGAATGTTCTATATTATTTAGGAACATCTACTTCAGTATCATGTGACTAAGGTTAAACTGTAAGATCAGAATTGCCTTACAGACCATTCACAGGTAAAGTTCCAAACACTCAAACTGGGCAGTACTTTCACTGTGGAAATGGACTGTGTGCACACAGCTCTTTCTGATGGTCCTTGGGCACGTCAGAGTCCTCCCTCTCAATAACCGTGGTCAGCACGAGCGGCAGACTCTGGCAAACAGTGGCCAGGCCAATCAGCTGACATTTTAGGATGAGCAGGATGGTCACAAGGCTTTGATGGCACTCAATGCGAGGTTATGGCCAAGGGCCTACAAGCCAGGCTGGAGTGACTGACGGCAGAATGACGAAAAGCTTTACAGCTCTCACTGGTCATGTGCCAGGTAACAGCAGCACCAGCTCACCATCGTCCAGTGCATGTTACTCCTGGCGACCCTCCGATAGCTGTCTGAGGCCATGAATCCATACTGGACGACACTGCATTTCTTTTTCCCACAGAGTAGGTGGTGGATTTGAACCTCTGGCCTTTCAGTTAGCAGCCCTCCCGCATCAGCATGAACCCAAGGAAGGCCAGCTTCAAGATGAAAGGGGGGCAGGGTGATGAGAGGCAAAATGCTGCTGATGAGGACTGGGATTGTCCCACCTGCAAATCACAGCACCAAGGCAGCCACAGGGCTGGTCCTACAAGAGCCATCGAGAGCAGTCCTCATGCCTGCCCAGGGGAG